TATATATACGTACCATGAACAGACTTATTGAGCTGTGCTCGCAACAAGGCGAGTTGATCAAGCAATTCCTGCTCACGGCTCGAACTGGCGGTTGGCACCGGTGGCTCGACTATGACGTGAATATGTCGCTTTGGTGGTGCAGTCCAGAAATCTCCTACGTCTCGAGTTGCCAGAAGTTCGAAATCTAATGTGGAGTTGGCCAACTCGGAATCGCGATCGTCAGGAATTTCCACCTTCCATAACTTGATGTCTTTGGCGTCAACGCTAGCGAAAGTTTGCAGATTTTTCTCTTTAATAATTTCCTTGAGGTAGCCAACGAGCTTGTTCCTATCGATATCGACAGGGAAAGCATTCGCGGGTAAGTTTCCTTTAACCAAACAGACCAAAGTAATAGACATTTCGAATTATATATGATTTTTTGGTGGATTTTTATTGGTAGACTGCGGATGGTACACAAGTAAAAAGCGAAAAAACGATAAATGGAGCAGGCATGGGTATATGTGAAAAAGTGGTCGGGACTGTACCAGGATGTAGGTGACTTTTTCAGATCACGTGATTATCCGATCTGATCACCTGATTAACGAACTCACCGATCCATTCCCGGAAATTAATATGTACGAAGATGAAAATTCTTCCTATTTTAGCATAATGCAATTATGAAAATTGCCATAATAATAAAGGAACAATGTTGAGTAAACAAAATAATGTGGAATAAAGTAAACAAAGTAACAATAAAAAATATTATTTGTGGACGTAATAATGAATTTTTGGCAAATTAAGTTTCGATTGTCAGCATCTTAAGTCCTGTTGCGATATTGTGTGTTGTGTGTGTGTGTGTGTTCGGAAGGTTTTTTTAATAGGAATATCCAAAATCCAATAGCTCAGAAGATTTCAGGTAATATAGTTTGTGTTTCAGTTGTCCGTTCCATAAATTCTTTACAAAACTATATTCTAATAATGTATTTTCTGGTATCAAGTCCTAACCAACAAACACGTCAACATTATATGAGTTTTACAAGCTTAAAAGGAAATTGATTTCAAGAGAATTATGGGTAGCACTTGGAGAATCTTTATTGAGCTCGTAAGCCTGTTTTATATACATTTTTTATTTACATTATGATATAATAAGAGAATATGAACTTTATTTTATTGCAAGAATAATGTCCATGAGGTTGATCCTTGCCACGTCGGATCACGTCTTCACCTATGTTGTGCCTTCTCAATGTCATTTAACATAGTGAACAACTTATTCATATTATTGACTACGTGTGTAATATGATTTAAGTTGTTTGCTGAGAGTTCTTGTTCCAGATGTTCTGTCATACGTTTTACGGCAGCTACCTTGAGCTCACAAATCTGCCACATTTTGGGATCAAAAGCTTCATTGTCATTTTCATTCATTTTAACAAATTCATTATTAACTTCAGTCTGCGAAATTAAAGCTTGATTATCATCCTGCGAAATTAAAGACTGATAGGTATTGATTTCTTCCATATTCCAAATGAGAAAAGGATAGTCTTCTTGCCGTTGAAAATTTTCATACATCAACCAGATACCTCGTGGATCAAGCAATTTTGCCTTTTCAACTACACGATGGACTAAGTGTTTACAAATAAGAAATCGGCTATGAAGAAATGAAGAACAGCTACATATCCAACGTGTTGGATCAATAAAGTAATGATTATCATCATCATCAGCAATTTGTCTCATACTAAGCTGCTTTCAATCATTTTTAAAATTATCAAACCAACATGAAGTTATTCGACCCAGGCGCATTTGATCAAGACGAGTGATTTGGTCAGGAAAGAGACGTGTGCAGATAATCCACACAACATAATCAAGTCATGATCTGTTGAATCAGTAAAGGTAGCAACATTTTACAACTCTCCAATGTGCTTCAATTAGCATATTCGTCTTGCAAATCGGGATTGTTATCTGTGTTGATCGTGCCCAAAGCATCCACCTTGTAATTTTATACCACGCAGACCATAAGTATACCCAAAGTAATTCAAGTTTATTTTCAGTGTAAAAATTATACATTTCATGAACTGCACTTCTTCGGATTTCATTAGCTGTCAAAAACTGTCCAGTAGCGTTGATAGGGATTTTTGGATGCATATTAAAATGTTTTTTGACAAGATCAATAGCTTTATTTCGTAGTTCCAGTGGACATACAATATAATACTCAGACTCTGAACATTTTAAATCAGGCACGAAGGTGAGATCAATGAAACTAAACTCCGCAATAGCTTCCTCTGGTTAATACTGGGTACGTTGTATTCTCTTACGGCTCTTAAGTTTTTCTTTTATTGCTCTTTCTACATGCTACAGACAGAGCTGCACGTTAATACTTGGCCACACTTCTTTTACGACATTGATCTCAGCGAAATCTTTGTCAGTAAAGAAGTACTGTGGTTCTAACCTCTTGTTGTGAAGAGAGCGAAGAAAGCCGGCAAGTGCTTTTGTTCGTAGCCCTGTTTGTTCTTTATTGTCGAATGCTTTCGTAGTATTTAGTAACAAATACCCAATTGGAAATCCTGCGTCATTAGTATTACTGATAATTCCATAGAGCTCAAATCATTCTTTAACTGTTTTGTAGGTCGCATCACAATGGATACTCAATACAGGTAAGAGTTTAGTTAGCAAAGGAGTTATGAATCCAATTGCTGTAACCAATTCACTCTTCCACTCAAAACAAAACTGATTATTATTATTCAGATTTTCTAAAAAGCGACGCGCAGAAATAACAGAATCTTTGTCTAATTTGTAAAAACGCTGACAGAAAGTAAACCACCAATAATTGATTTGCTTCAGAGTAATTTGTGAAATATCGAATGTTTGATGAAGATGTGACTGAAGCTGTACAGGATCCATATAGAGGTTCTCCATGATCTCATGTTTTATTTCTGGTGGGATTGTAAGATCTATAGGCTTTTCATGCTGAATATCGTGACAAAGCTTTATTGATACCTCTTTTGCCATCATATTAATATAGATAATCAACTTGCCATGACAATCAAAATGGTCTATCCTTTTGCAGTTTGATTCTTTATATTCGGGTTCAAGTTCGAAGCATTGAGAACAAGCAAGGTAGAACTTACCAATACCAGAATGATGTACTGATATGGTAGGTCCAGTTGTAAATCTATCAAATAAAAATTAATATATTTAACGCGCGTGTTAATTTTGAGGTTTACAATTTAAGGTAACTTACATCCATTTATATCTGTCGCCTTCTTCAATCTCGTCTATTATCAATCTTACCAAGAGTTTCATATTGTGATGAGCAGTGATCAATGTATCATCATTAAGCTTAACGCATAAGTTAAAAAAAGTCTGGCATCCTGCTCAAGATTAGCGATTTTATTTGAGACATATTCGATGATATCAGTAAAAATAATCTCCTCCATCTTATTTTCAAATTGATTTTCTAATTTATTGTCAACAGGTGGAACTTGCTTCGCTGCTTTTTCAGATTTTTTAGTTAAGCAGATAGAGCAAGTTTTGAGAAATTTGCCCTTGCGAAAGAAGGCTTCTGTGAGTAATTGGTGCCGACAAGTAGTACACGTATTCATGTTATAATAATGTATTGTTAGAGATCTATATGGTGATTTTGTACGTGAGGATTTAGTCTCGAAAAAGGTGAATGATGGATATTCTTAATTCGATTATACTTTTTGGTTCAATAATATGCATGTTTTACTATCACACTATCAATCAGAAGACAAGAATAATGAACTTTCACTTTAAGTTATTTACAATTCAAGAGATAAT